GGGCTCGAACTCACAAACCATGAGATCGTGACCTGAGCCAAAACTCAGGCGCCCTTAATCATCCTTCCTTTAAATGTACCTCTAGGGGCGCCTGGGTGGCTCAGTCAGTTAAGCAGCAGGCTCCGGGTCAGGTCATGATCTTACCGTTCACGAGTTTGAGCCCCTCATCAGGCTCTGTGCTGACAGCTCGGAGCCGGGAGCCTGCTTTGGATTCTGTGTCTCCCTCTCCCTCTGCCCCTGCCCTGCTCATGCTCTGTCTCTGTCTCTCTCTCAAAAATAAATACACATTTAAAATTTTTAAAAATAAAATAAAAGATCCAAGACTTAACCTGAGAGTTCATGAGGTAGCAGGAGAGCCAGACAAAGCAACAGTTCTCAGTCGATGTGGCGACATAATTTGCGTCCAGATGCTAGGAAGGATACAGCACACTTTCGTAGTATTGCCAACAAGGCATAGCCTGAATTAACCATGAGGAAAACTCAAAGAATCCCAAATTAAGGGACATTCTACGTTTCAAACTCCAAAAATGTCAATGTCATGAAACAAAGGCCGAGGAGCCCTTCCAGATTAAAGGGGAAGAAACACAGCTAAATACAACGCTTTACTCTGGATTCGATTTGGGAATGGAATGGTTTTTTTTTTCTCCTTTTATTAGAAAGGACATTAGTGGGACATGAAATTCAGGTAGATAATATTGTATCGATGCTAACTGCCTGATCTTGATTAACTGTGCTGTGCTGTGGTTATATAAGAGAATGACCTTTTATTTTCAGGACATGTATTCCAAAGTATTTAGAGGTAACAGAACATCATGTCTGCGACTCACTCTCAAACTGGTCGAGAAAAAATATATATATATTTGCATTTATATGTAAATGAGACAGAGGAAAATAAAGCAAATGTGGTGGACTGTTAACATTTGAGGAATCTAGGGGCGCCTGGGTGGCTCAGCTGGTTAAGCGTCCAACTCTTGATTTTGGCGCAAGTCATGATCTCATGGTTTGTGGGTTTGAGCCCCGCGTGGGTCTCCACGCTGACAGCGTAGAGCCTGCCTGGGATTCTGTCTCTTTCTCTCTCTGCCCCTCCCTCGCTTGCTCTCTGTATCTTTTTCAATATAAATACAAATAAACTTAGAAAAAAAAACATTTGAGGGGCACCTGGTGGCTCAGTCAGTTAAGTGTCTGACTCGTGATTTCACCTCAGGTCATGATCTCACGGTTTGTGAGTTCGAGCCCCATGTCGGGCCCTGCGATGACAGTGTGGAGCCTGCTCAGGATTCTCTCTCTCTCTCTCTCTCTCTCTCTCTGGCCCTCCCCTGCTCTCCCTCTCTCCAGAATAAATAAATTAAAAAAACATTTGAGGAATCTAGGTAAAGGGTAATCGTGAATCCTTTGTACCATTTTTGCGACTCTTCCGTAAGGGTGACATTTTTTCAAAATAAAGTTGACATCCTGCCTACCAAAAAAAGTGCTGTGTCATCACTCTAGCGGGCGGGGGGGGGGGGGGGGGGGGGGGGGGGGGGGTGAAGGTGAATAAGATTGCATCCCTGCCCTACAGGACTCGGGATCTAGTGGGTCATTTTGGCTGCAGATCCAAAGGGGTGAGGCTAGCCCTCCAGGGAAGTGACAGCAATGTGGGCAAGAAATGGGGAAGCTTGAATGAACTACGGAAGTGCCAGCAGAGCCAGAAGGGCATTAAAAGGACAATTTCTATGATCTGGTGACTAACCGGACTTGAAGGGGGGGACAAGAAGAGAAGGGCTTCTTACACAGTCTATTGCTTATAGACCATGGTCCCATTCCCAGGTTTGTGGAGAATAATGTGATTGGTTTGGGACAGCTCCGTGGGGGCAGTCGAGTAGAGAGCCTCTGAACTACCAGCCTGCGGTTTGGGGGGAGAGGTCGGGGCTGAGATACAGTTTGGGGTGTCGTCAGCATTAGGGAGGTAGAAGAAGCCATGTGATAGGGAGAGGACACAATAGAACCCCAGAGAAGCATCTGGAGACCGCGGTCCCGTTCTTGGCCCCACCCAAGGAAGTGTCCTTCAAGTGTGTTTTTTTTTTTTTTAATGTTTTTATTTTTGAGAGAGAGAGACACACACACACACAGAGTGCAAGCAGGGGAGGGGCAGAGAGAGAGGGAGACACAGAATGGGAAGCAGGCTCCGGGTTCTGAGCTGTCAGCACAGAGCCCGATATGGGGCTCGAACCCACGAACCCAGAGATCATGACCTGAATGGAAGCCAGACGCTTAACCGACTGAGCCACCCAGGCGCCCCAGGTTCTTATTTTTCTACTGATGGTTTGGCCTATTTGCCAGAACTCTCCCAGCTTAATGTGTGACTGGGAGTCTCCTCACTTTGTAGACTTGTGTTTTCCCATCTTTTTTTTTATTTTATTTTATTTTTTTTTTAATTTTTTTTTCAA